CACGCCACACGCGGCGATGCGGGAAGATGCGCCGCCGTCGGCAACGGGCGCGCGACGGCGTTTCGCCGCGCGCGATTCGCTTATCGCCGCCCCCCGCACGCGCAGCGGCGTATGGCCGCCGCCGTCGCGCCGGAGCGCGCGCCGCACGCCATGTACGATCCGCCGCCGTGCATCGCCCGATCCGCCGCCGCAACGCCCCTTCAAGTCCCGCCCCTTCAAAACGCGCCGCGCCGCCCCGGGTGGCACGTCTCCCCTCGGCTCGCCCCGCACCAAAACAGTTGCCAGGCCTTCGCGGCCTTTCACCCCCCGCGCCCACTCACGCAGCCCGCGCTGACGGCGCTGCACACATGCCCCCGGCCGCAAGCGCATGGGTGACGCCCCGCCGTACCCGCCCCGCCAAGCGATGGCCGTCGCGCGCCTGGTGGGCGACCTGGTCGCGGCCGCCGGCAACGCCGGCGTGGTCGTCGACGCCGTGCACTTCCGCACCCGGCCGCCCGCGCCCGTCCCGGCCCCGCTGCGCTGGCCGTCCGTGCTTCTGGACGGCGCGCCGCCGCCGCCGCCGCACGCGTGGGTCGTGCCGCAGCAACCCCCGCCGCAACAGCTGCAGCAACAGCAGCAGCAGCAACATCCGCTCCCGCAGCAGCACCCGCACCCGCTCCCGCACCCGCCGCACGCGTACCACATGCATGCGGCCGCGTACGGTGCGGCCCCGCTGCCGCCGGCCATGCACTACTACAACCACGGGCCGTACTTTGCGGCCGCGGCAGCCGGCGCGCCCGGCGCGCACGCGGCGTCTAACGTCTTCTGGTCGACGGTGCTGCCGCCCGCGCACGGCGGCGGCGGCGGCGCTGGGATCAAGGGCGAGGCGCAGGCGCAGGCGCAGGCGCAGGCGGGCGCGCGCGGGCAGCGCGCACGCGGCGGCGGGGCGGGCGAGGGCAGCACGGCGAGGAGGGGGCGCAAAGGCGACGGCAAGGAGTTTGCGTGCCCGCGGTGCGCGTCGCGCTTCAAGACCAACTCCAACATGCAGAAGCACGTGCGGACGGTGCACGACAACTGCCGGCCGTTCGCGTGCGGAAGGTGCGAGGCGCGGTACGGGCACAAGAACCTGCTGGTGGAGCACGTGCGCACGGCGCACGACGGGGAGCGGCCGTTCGGCTGCGAGACGTGCGGGGCACGGTTCGGGAGAAGCTCCAACCTGTACAGCCACATGAAGAGCCACGAGGGAAAGAGGGAGCATCAGTGCTCAACGTGCCACGTGAGCTTCTCGCTGCACGGCAACATGGTCAAGCACGTCAAGACGGTGCACCTCAAGCAGCGGCCGTTCGAGTGCGAGACGTGCACGTCGCGCTTCGGACTGCGCAGCGACCTCATGCGGCACAAGCGCAACGTGCACGGCATTGTTCAGAAGGGCCCGCGACGG